CTAAATATGAGCTTGGGTATTAAAATTAGAAGTAGGTCACAGAAACCCAACCCCATGTATCTGCATCCAGCCCTTGGTGAGTGGGCCCTGACGTGTCCTTCACAATCCCATCTTTTTTTTTGAGACAGTTTCGCTCTTGTTACCCAGGCTGGAGTGCAATGGCTCGATCTCGGCTCACCGCAACCTCCGCCTCCTGGGCTCAAGCAGTTCTCCTGCCTCAGCCTCCCAAGTAGCTGGGACTACAGGAGTGCACCACCATGCCCAGCTAATTTTTGTATTTTTAGTAGAGACGGGGTTTCACCATGTTGACCAGGATGGCCTCGATCTCTTGACCCACAATTCCATCTTTACTGGCGGTTGTCCGGCCGTCACACGGCGCCTTCCTGCCCGCCCTTTCCTAACCACCTCCACTCTAGTGAAGACGTACAGCTGGCAGTCATGCCGGCTGTACACTGCCATTTCCCACAGGTTCCAAATGCCTGGGCTGCCAAGAGGGTTGAGTGTTTACATGTATTTTTAATGGAAGTGGGGTCTCACTATGTTGTCCAGGCTAGCTTTGAACTCCTAGGCTCAAGCAATCCTCCCACTCTGGCCTCCTAAGGCTCTGGGATTACAGGTGTGAGCCACCATGCCAAGCCGGGTCTTTAAAAAAAAGTCTGTGAAGCAGGAGTTGCAGGAAAAAAGAACTAATTAATTACTTGGGGGAAAAAAGCTGAAAGAAAATCAACCAGTAGTAACAGTGATTATCTCTGAGTGGTGGGATCACGAGTCCTGTATTTCCTTCCATGCAATTTTTAATATTTTCTAAAATATACATGCATTGCTTTAAGATGAGAAAAAATATGTGGTGTTTTATCAAGAGGCATAGAGGCTGGCAAATAATGTCTGGATCCCTACACCACCGCTGGAGGAACGCAATGGGGGAGCCCGACAGACTGCAGGCACTGTGCCCCCGTCTGTCCTGTGGCTTCCTACCAGCCCAAAGCACTGAGGTTTCCAGAGGGAGTGAGGCAAAAGGCCCAGACATTTTTCTGGTTAACACTCCACGTATTCAGTTCCAAAGGGTGCTAGGCCAGGGAGGCAAGGCAGAGCTTGGCCAGGCCGCGGGCAGCTTGCTGGACCAGGCCAGAGAGTAAGTCAGTAGAATTCCCGCAGGCCCCATCTGTGGGTGCGAGGCCAAAGTCCACCAACCCCATGGCTTTTCTGTGCTGGGAGGGAGGAAAGCGGGGGACAGCACAGGGAGGTGACAGCACAAGGAGGTGCCCTACTCGCCGTTCATGTCATTTTCTCTTTCTGACATTTTCCTAGGCTGCTTTAAGTGGACGACAGAGGCCACCTGAGTGCCATTCCGGATTTAGAAAGAAACTGCATGTCCAGAGTGTGAACTGGCCTGCTCTGATCTCCCGGCCGTGGCAGTGGTAGCTTCCAGCCTGCTTTGTGTTTGCCCAAAAGTAACAGTAAAGAGCTCTGACCACTCCTGTTCACCTTAAACCTGGGGCTGCTGTGCTTCTGGGCTTTGCAAAGAGTGGAGGGGTTTCCGCATATCAAAAAAGAAAGGGGCGCTAGGTCTGTGCTGTGACCCTACCCTGCAATGGAATGACACATAGCTATAAAGAATGAGGCCGCTCCACATGTGCTGGGACTGAGGAAGGTTCTTTCGATTTTTTGTTTTGTTTCTGAGACCAAGTCTCGCCACTTGTTGCCCAGATTGGAGTGCAGTGGCACAATCTCGGCTCACTGCAGCCTCCGCCTCCTGGGTTCAAGCAATTCTCCTGCCTCAGCCTCCCAAGTTGGAGTTACAGGAGCCCACCACCACACCCAACTGTTTTATATTTTTAGTATAGAGGCTGGGTTTCGGGTTTCACCATGTTGGTCAGGCTGATCTCCAACTTCTGATCTCAGGTGACCCACCCACCTCAGCCTCTCCAAGTGGTGGGATTACAGGCGTGAGCCACCACACCCAGTCGAGACAGTTAAAAAAAGTGCAGCACAGTGTGTATCGTGTGTGTGACTACTATCATTTGCGTATGAGAAAGAAAAGCTTACTACCAGACACCACCTGGAGGGATAAATAGACTGGCAGGGGCTGCCCCTGGGGAGGAAACTGGGAAATGGAGTGAGAGTAGAAAAAGGTGTTGTTAGCTGGGTGTGGCGGCGCACCCCTGCAGGCCCAGCTGCTCCAGAGGCTGAGTAGGGAGGATTGCCTGGGCCCAGGAGTGCAGGTCCAGCTGGGCAACGTAGTAAGACGTTTAAAAAAAAAAAAAAAAAAGCTTTCCTTTCCATGAAAAGCCTTTTTGTAACTTTTGAAATCCATATTTTTGTTTTTTGTTTTTTTGAGATGGAGTCTTGCTTTGTCACCAGGCTGGAGTGTAATGGTGTGACCTCAGCTCACTGCAACCTCCACCTTCCGGGTTCAAGTGATTCTCCTGCCTCAGCCTCCCAAGTAGCCAGAATTAGAGGCATGCGCTGCCACATTCAGCTAATTTTCATATTTTTAGTAGAGATGGGGTTTCACCATGTTGGCCAGGATGGTCTCCATCTCCTGACCTCATGATCCACACACCTCGGCTTCCCAAAGTGCTGGGATTGCAGGCGTGAGCCACGGCGCCTGGCTGAATTCCATCTATTTTAATGGTCTCTGGTCTACATACTCGTGTGTAAACACATACATGCGGAAGAACGGGGATCACCTGCACAAAGCTATAAACTGCTTCCTCATCCTTCCAGCCCCGTTCTAGAGGTAAACCCTCCGCCCTCCCCAGGCACTACCGTCCTGCTGCCAGCCACCTCCACCCCGTGCTGGCCAGCAGTGGCCTAATGCTTCCTCTCCATTCCACCCCTCCCTGCCTCCCATGAGATCACAGGAGAGGATTGCTGGTTCCTGCTTCCCTCAGCACGCCTAAATGTAAAGTGAACGAATCCGCTGTTAATATGCAGATTACCCACCCCACCTGGATGCATCTGCATATTAACAGTGAACTTCGGGCCAGGAGTGACGGAAAGCAAGGAATTTTAGGGCGAGTGAGGCAGAATAGGATAAGTGAGGAAAGTGAGATGTGGTTAAAGGAATACCAGACCCGAGGGCCGGGAGACAGCAGTCTTATTCGGGCTGTGTGACGTGGAGGTGTTCATGTCCTCAAATGAAAGAGGAGGGAGCTGCAAGGGATGATCTCCCAGATGCCACATCCGGCAACATCCCCCCGTCCCCTCAGGCCTCACTGATGTGTGCTGTATGTGCTCGACAGCCCTGTCCAACAGAAATGGAATGCAAGGCACACAGGTAATTTTAAGCATTCTGGTAGCACCACAAAAAAAGTGAACAGAAGCAGATGAAATTAATTTTAATATTTTACTTAACACAGCATATCTAAAATATCATTTTAACAGGCAATCAATATAAAAAAATCCATTCTTCTTTTTAGTACTAAGTCTTTGAAATCTGCCATTTACATTTTGCAGAACATCTTAACCTGGACTAGCCACCTGTCAGGAGCTCAAAAGCCCCACCTAATGAATGACTGCTGCCTTGGACAGTGCAGGTTGAGTCTAACAGGAAAGCAATCCCTTCGCCTTGGACCCCATGAGGCCCAGAGCTGAGGTCGGATACGAGCACCAGCCCACGTCCTTGGAAAAGGTCAAGGTCACAGGAGCGGTTTCGGTTCTGAGTTCCGTGCCTGATGAGGGGCAGCTGGGACTGGTTACCCGACAGCACTGCGGAGTGCAAGACAGACACACACAGAGAAGCCGCAACCTTACAGGAACACGGGGAACCTCAGGCCGCGCGGAAACAAGGTGGGGGTCATCAGGGCGTCTCTACCTTCGCGGCTTTCACAACACGAAATCTCAGACTCACCAAAGTACGCAGACCTCTTGGTGTGTCAGTTACATAAATCCACTCCTTTAGACACCTGAGCACCTTCCCCCTCCCAGACACCCAATGGGCGCGGGAGACACTGCTGCTCCCGGGACAGTGACCACTCATAAAAGCTCCTACTCGGGGTGCATCACACGCACAATCTCATTTGCTCACCTAAAAAACCCTATAAGAACTCACAGATGAGGACACCGGGGCTGAGAAGGTTAAATTACTTCCCAACAGGGACACGTGGCACAGAATGGATCTGACACTGACTTGCACACTGCAACGAGCACTGCCCAGCTTTGAAGGGGCACCAAAGAAGTTCACAATTATAAGGCCATGGGGTCACCTCTGCAAAAGGGATATGAAACAGGGCCCTGGACACAGGAGGGGTGGAAAGGATTATTTGAGTAAGCATGGAAGGTGGAGGGGCTCACCAGGCCAAGAGCAGGTGCTAGGCCTTCAGCAGACACAGCATGAGCCAAGGCACAGAGGCCCCAGGGGACCGTGCCGTGGTCAGAAAGCGGTGATGGCCGGGCAGCTGGATGGCCATGCATATAAGGGGCCCCACATCAAGGGGGAGGCATTAGCCAAACCCATCACATAAGGGCCTTCAATTCCATAAAGAATCTGGGTTTTATCCTGTGAGCTACGGGAAGCCACTGAAGCATTTTATCTAGGCTAGCAAGTGGGCCCAGAATTTCATTGTAAGAAATCATTCTATAGAAGGAATCTCAACCCTCACCTGACTGCCTTTATCCCCCTAGGGTTCTAAGCTCTACTGAAATGCCCATATAAAGCATAGATTTGCTTCCTACAGACTTGAACCATGCCCTAGGGATTTAATTCCCAGGGGCCTGTGAAGTTTGCTTACTTTACCTATTTTTCTAAAGAGAAGTTCTTGACTTGCAACCCCTGAAAATGTACCAATGGAAAGCTAGCAAGCACCTTCTATATTTTTGGCATCACCACCAACCAAGGACCCGGTGCAGGGCAGCCTGCTTGGCCTCTGGCTGCAGAAAGGCCAGCCCCTGCGGGAAGCCCTTCTTCATCCTGACAGTGTTCAGTGCGCTACGCTTCCTTGCACAGAAACTCGTAAGATGCTTCTGGCTGATGAGAAAACTACGCTAAAACATTTCACTCCTCTAACGCAAAGGCCTCAGTGCCGTGCCGCCTCCCTAAGGTTTTACTGTTCACTGCCTTCAAAACCCATGTCTCCCCTCTGCCCCGCCCCCCACATCCCTTCCAGCTCACCCGATTACTCAGTTCCATTTTCGGCTCAGCAGCCTCTGAGGCTGGCCTACTTTTCAAGGCCACACGAGCAGAAAAATTTGGGCATTACGCAAACAGAACATAACTAGGACAAAGGCACAAAAAAAGGGGGTGGGGACCTGCAATGGTGTATACCAAGGAGGCAAGGATACAGGCAGGACTTGATGAAACAGCCAATGGACAAGTTTGCAGTGGGGGCGGGAGAGGCTGGCGGGGAAAGACGGGCAGAGGCACAGAGTGTAACAGAGCAGGGCTTGGCCAGGACAGCCTGGAAAATCGAGCTGAAGACCAAGATGCACCAGGCAAGATCACTTTCCCCAGTGATAAGAGCTGTAAGGCTCACTTGGTTTTCAGTTGTCAGCCGAGTGGTTCTGAAAGTCTCGCCCCAGCCCGAACAGTGAGAAGCCTTACGCAGCTTCAAGCACATAGCAAGACCATGAGAACAGCATATTGATACAGAATTAGACCAGTTCTGGGGAGCACAGTGCAGGCAGGAAGAGGCCCTCTCAGATTGCACTCTAGCTAATTAAGGTACTGTCCTGTGGGGTGACTCTCAGGGGCATGGTTTTTCGTTTTGAGAGAGTACAGTGGCACAATCTCAGCTCACTGCAATCTTTGCCTCCCTGGCTCAAGCAGTTCTTGTGCCTCAGCATCCCGAGTAGCTGGGACTACAGGCGTGCAGCACGCCTGGCTAATTTTTGTATTTTTAGTAGAGACGGGGTTTCACTATGTTGGCCAGGCTGATTTTGAACTCCTGGCCCCAAGTGATCCACCTGCCTCGCCTCCTAAAGTGCTGGGATTACAGGCGTGGGCCACCACGCACAGTAAAGAGGTATGTTTGTGAAGAAGTGAAAGGCCAAGTGTCACTCTACCAGGCTTTTTCTGAACTTCCAGCTCCATTAATATCCTGGCCTGAAGAACCAACCCCTTGCCTTCGCCGAGAAGATGGAACGTTTCATAGACACAGTCCCTGTCCCCAAACCCCTCCTTTTCAAGGAGCCTCTGGGTATCCGGAGAACTGTTCTGAAGGAACTGTGCCTGCTGGTCCCTATTTGTTTCCATGTCACCTACTATGGCCAGCCAAAGTGGGGTGCAAAGGAGAGGGTACCCAGGCAGCAAGACAGTGCACCCCACGAGATGAGGCTGGCCCTACTTCCCCAGGGGCACCTGTGGATGCGTCGCTCTGTCACTCCGCTTCTGTTGCCGCAGACTTGAGGAGCAGGGAGGCTGTGGTGCAAGGGGACCCTCAGTCACGGATGCGGAGCTGGCAGAGGCGAGAAGATGCAGCCTTCCGGATCCAGCGGAAGAGCTGGGCCAGCTTGTAGAGGAAGGGCAGGGAGGAAGGGGAAGCTGCAGGGCAGAGAGACACTACTGTGAGCGTCCTGCCCTTCCAGCCTGTCACTCTGCCATCTCCCACCCTGGGAGACTCCACTGCCTTGCAACTACGCATTTGTTTTTTGTTTGTTTGTTTGTTTGTTTTTGAGACAGGGTCTCACTCTGTCCCCTAAGCTGGAGTACAGTGCAGTCTGTGTTCAGTTCACTGAAGCCTCCATCTCCTGGGCTCAAGTGATCCTCCTGCTTAGACTCCCAAAGTGCTGGGATTACAGATGTGAGCCACCACACCTGGCCTGCTGGGCCAAAGCACGGTTTTTATTTTATTTTTTTGAGACAGTCTCACTATGTCACCCAGGCTGGAATGCAGTGGTGTGATCTCAGCTCACTGCAACCTTCGCCTCCCGGGCTTCAGTGATTCTCCTGCCTCAGCCTCCAGGGTAGCTGGGACTACAGGCACATGCCACCACACCCAACTAATTTTTGTATTTTTAGTAGGTAACAGGTTTCACCATGTTGGCCAGGCTGGTCTCGAACTCCTGACTTCAGGTGATTCGCCTGCCTTGGCCTCCCAAAGTGCTGGGATTACGGGTGTTGCCCAGGATGGAGGGCAACAGCACAATCTCAGCTCACTGCAACCTCCCCCTCCCGGGTTCAAGCAATTCTCCCTGTCTCAGCCTCCCGAGTTGCTGGGATAATAGGCATGCACCACCACACCTGGTTTAGGTTTGTATTTTTAGTAGAGACGGGGTTTCACCATGTTGGCCAGGCTGTTCTTGAACTCCTGACCTCAGGGGATCCACCCACCTAGGCCTCCCGAAGTGCTGGGATTACAGGTGTGAGCCACCGCACCCAGCCTATTTTCCACATTTTCTAAAATGTATGAGTATTTCATTTACAACTTGTTTTGAATGAATACTTCGTTAGACATTAACACTCGAATTCACACTTTTGTAGACATTCTGATGAGGGGAAGTTTTTTTTAAATTCTGAGGTTCCAGTCAGAGTTCAGCCCAGAAAAAATCAGAGGGCTACGACTCAGTCCGCGTCCAGGAGTCAGCGGGCCGAGTGGACTTTCAGCGGGCCGAGTGGACTTTCTCTCAGCTGCTCTCACAGATTCCAGGGCTAGTCTCTCTTTCCAGGTGGGGCTGACTCATGCCCAGTCCAGCAATTCCTCCCTGTGGAACCGACTCGGGGGGAAATGTCACAGGAGAGACCCCCATCCCCAGTAGGACTCTGACAGGCGTAGTGACAAGCACCCACTCCCACAGGCCCAGCCCCAACAAGGACCCTTCCCAGGAAGGATGGGGCACGAGTCTCTACCACTTACCTGGATCCAACCTCACCACCAGGAGACAGAGGATCAAGGCAGCCAGGAGGCTTTTTTTGAAGGGCAGAGAAAAGAAGTGGCTCACCGCAGAGTCCCAAAGCTGGCGAACCAACATCGGTAGTGACAGGAACTTGTGGGACACAGAGCCTGACCGGGAGACAGAGTACGGCTTCAGGGAAGTCAGGGGAGTCAGTTCCCTGGACCCCGACCTCTGCACTTGCTTTTAAGAGCTGAGCAAAAGGGTATTAAGTATTGGCTAAAGCCTCCGTGCCTTAACTGCAGATACCCTTGCAAATCTCATGCATATAAATTGTTTTCCTTAAGCATATTACTTATTTTGAGTATTTATTATTTACAATATTCAATATATCTTTGTAGAAGTTTTTTAAAACCTTTCAGAACAAGATCTGAAATACATAAAAAGCATCGTGTTATTAAAAAAAAAAGTGAACGGAGAAATATAAAATACTTTCAAAATTTAAAAAGGGCACTTGTAGTACAAGGGAAAAAAAACTTTTACTTAAAAAAAAAAAGCAGTTGAGCAAAAGGGACTAAGAAATATTTTCTCACAGAGCTCATCAAGTAGCTCTAAAGGAAATACCAAAAGCCCCCAAAAATGTTTGAAAGACAGATCACATCACTATACTATCATCTCCTTAGGAGAGGACTTTAGGACTTTGACAGGCAACACCTATCTGCTGCGTAAATCTGGCATATTTAGTGTTTTTTTAATGGTCTCATTTTTTTCACAGTCATGATGCCACTACTGATCAGTACAGGAGTTTGGTTTTTTGGGGTTTTTTTTTGAGATAGGGTCTCACTCTGCCACCAGGCTGGAGTGCAGTGGCAAGGATCTCGGCTCACTGAAATGTCCGCCTCCTGGGTTCAAGCAATTCCTCTACCTCAGCCTCCTGAGTAGCTGGGACTACAGGCATCCGCCACCACGCCCAGCTAATTTTTTGTATTGCAGTAGAGATGGGGTTTCACCATGTTGGTCAGAACGGTCTCTATCTCCTGACCTCGTGATCTGCCTGCCTTGGCCTCCCAAAGTACTGGGATTACAGGCGTGAGCCACCGCGCCTGGCCAGCACAGGAGTTTTAACCTGCTCTATTTATGACCTTGGCCAGTTTACCCACTTGTAGGCAACCCAGTGGTCCTCTGCTCCTGGGAGGTCACCATATTGATGCAGACCCCCAATTAGTGTAGCACCCCCAATTACTACAGCCCAGCACTCCTGGGTACAGCGATCCTCCCACCTCAGCCTCTCAAGAATCTGGGACTACAGGCATATAGCACTACACCCAGCATTATTTCATAGCATTCTTTATATTCTGGCCTCAGGTGCATGCAGACAGTTATACAGAGCAATACTTCTGATTATCACATCAATGCAGAGAAATGAAGGGCAATACATACAGTGAAGAATTCACAAGTCTGGGATTGTGAATATAAACACGAACACTACCAACCTAAGAACAAGTGACGCCCAGTCCAGACAGAGCACCCGGAACTGCCATCAAACACCCTCTTCCCCTCCCCAGTAGGTGCAGAATAGAGGGCTGGGGAGCCACAAGCAGCCCCTGGAGCCAACAACCTGCTTGCAAAGAAGTCGTAGTGTCTCGGCAGGTTCATGCGCTGAGGCACACAAAGAAAAACACTTTGGATCCAGTCTCCTCATTAAGCAGAAGGGCTTTCGCGTAAAAAAGAACAAAAATGGAACAGACCTATTCTGTATGCTGGCAAGAGAAAAAACAAGGGTCAGTGAGTAAAAACTACCAGGAGAAAAGCCGAAATTCAACATTAGAAAGAATTCCCCACGGAGCTATCCAGAGTCGGAAAGTGCTGCTTCAAGAGATGGTGACTTTCTGTCCTTGGAAGTATTCACAACTACACTAGATCATCACTAAAGGAAAAGGGCGGAAAGGATTCAGGGACCAGGGAAAGGGTCTGCAACAGAAGACCTTTACTGTCCCCTCGGGTTGGCTGGGCACAGTGGCTCACACCTGTAATCCCAGCACTTTGGGAGGCTGAGGAGGGCGGATCACGAAGTCAAGAGATGGAGACCATCCTGGCCAACATGGTGAAACCCCGTCTCTACTAAAAATGCGAAAATTAGCTGGGTGTGGTGGCGCACGCCTGTAGTCCCAGCTACTGAGGAAGCTGAGGCAGGAAAATTGCTTGAACCAGGGAGCCAGAGGTTGCAGTAAGCCAAGATCTTGCCACTGCACACCAGCCTGGTGACAGAGTGAGACTCCATCTCAAAAAAAAAAGTCCCCTTGGAGCACAACAATCCCCACACTCCCCCTGCACCACCCCACACCACCTTGCATCATGCTAGCCAGGCATACAGCATGGGTCTTGACGCGGTTTTCCCCTAGAGGCCACCTTGGAAAACTGCACTCTAGCAGGCAGGGTGTACATCAATCATTGAAGAGAATGTTCAAGAGCTCTGGGGAGGGCAGAGAGGAGGCTGGGCAAGCTGAAGAGGTGTCATTTTTGTCTTGTAAGTCAAGTTACCAAGGTACCAAATGAGTTTCTTATTTTCCTTTCGTATCCCAGAAGATCTCAGCTGTGTTTGTTTTGGGGCCAGCATTTAAAGGAGGAAGGACATCCCACCCAGGCCAGTATGATAGAAGCAAGAGGCCCAGTCAGAGGACTCCAAGGGGAAAATGACTTTCAAAAGACAAGTCAAGGTCCCAGGACCCAGCAACACCTTCCATGGCCAACTTCAGAGGGCCTGGGCTTCACTTTGTTAAGCAACTCAACAGGCTTCCTCTTCTGTGATTCAAGAGTTACTCATATAAAGAACTGCTCCTAAGCTCCCAGGAGTTTTCCAATGATCCCCGAGGTACAGGGCAAGCCCACAACTCCACTTCACAGAGGTCACAGAGGGATAATGTCCTACCTTCCCGGTTTGGCTTCGGGGCCTCCTCAGAGCCTGAGTGTTCCTGTCCCTGCTGCTGCCTCGCTGTGTCAATGGCCTGAAGTATATCCAGTCGCTGCGCTTCACCAAAGGCTGCAGAGCCCACCACCAGCTCCTCAGCCTCCGACAAGCGGCCCAGAGGCAGCAGCACCCGCTGCACGTGGAATTCCGCCAAGGCTCCATACTCTGGAAGGTCTTGGTTGGCTGGGTCTTGGAGCCAGGCACCCACCACATCCAGCACAGCTCCAGGCTCTTGCATTTTGCTGTATAAAAGAATGCTGCAGTCCCAAAAAACCCAATCCCAACACAAGAAGAGTCAGTGCTCAATGAGTGGTTCATTTCTCTTGACCGCGACGCTTCTCCTATCCAACCCCTCCTCACTGTGTCCTCTAGGCCTTTCCGATGCAGTGTTGATGCTAGTGGGAATTCCCTATAACAAACCCATCACTAACAGCATACTCCATGGGAAAAGCTGAAAGTCTTTCCTCTAATATCAGGAAAAAGGAAAAGATGCTTACTTTGACCGTTTTTATTCAACTGGAGGTCATAGCCAGAGCAATTAGGCAACAGAAAGAAATAAAAAGTATCCCGACTAGAAAGAAGAAAGTCAAATTATCCCTGTTTACAGATAATAAGATCTTATATACAGAAAACTCTAAAGACTCCACCAAAAAAAAAGAACTAATAAACAGATTCAGTAAAGTTGTAGGATACAAAAATCAACGTACAAAAAACAGCATTTCTACATGCTGTAGTGAACCACTGGAAAAGGAGATCAAGAAAACAATTCCAGCCAGGCACAGTGGCTCACATCTGTAATCCCAGCACTTTGGGAGGCCGAGGTGGGCAGATCACAAGGTCAGGAGTTCGAGACCAGCCTGGCCAACATGGCGAAACCCTGTCTCTACTAAAAATACAAAAAAAAATTAGTCAGGCACGGTGGCGCACATCTGTAATCCCAGCTACTCAGAAGGCTGAGGCAGGAGAATTGCTTGAACCCGGGAGGCAGAGGCGGCAGTGAGCCAAGATCGAGCCACTGCACTCTAGTCTGGGCAACAGAGCAAGAGTCCATTTAAGAAAAAAAATTCCATTTACAATAGCTACCAAAAAAATAAGATACCTAGGAATAAATTCAACCAAGCTGGTAAAAGATCTCTACACTGAAAACCATAAAACATTGATGAAAGAAGTTGAAGGGGACACAAAAAAATAGAAAGATATTCTGTGTTCATTCACAAATTGGAAGAATATTATCAAAATTCCCAAAGCAATCTACAGATTTAACGCAATCTCTATGAAAATCCCAATGGCATTCTTCACAGAAATAGAAAAAACCATCCTGAAATTCGTATGGAACCACGAAAGACCCCAGATGACTAAAGCAATCGTGAGCAAAAAGAACGAAGCTGGACATATCAGATTACCTGACTTTAAACTATACTACAGAAAGCTCTAACAGTAACCTCACAGTATGGTACGGCATAAAAACAGACAAAATGGAACAGAACAGGGAGCCCAGAAATAAATTCATGCACCTAGAGCCAACTGATTTTCAACAAAGGTGCCGAGAACACACACAGGGAAAAAGAATCTCTTCAATACACGGTGCTGGGAAAATCAGATATCCATGTGCAGGAGAGCAGACCCCTACCTTTCCCCACATGCAAAACTTAACCCGAAACAGATTAAAGACTTAAATGTAAAACCTGAAACTATGAAACTACTAGAAGAAAACATAGGAGAGATGCCTCACAACACTGGGCTGAGCAAGGGTTTTTCTAAAGACTTTAAAAGCACCGATGACAAAAGCAACAATGGACAAATGAAATTACATCAAAACTTCCGCAGCACAGCAAAGGAAGCAATTAAGAGTGAAGACACAACCTACAGAATGGGAGAAAATATTTGCAAACTATCCATCCGACAGGGAGTTAATATCCAGAATATACAAGGAACTTAAACAACAGCCAAAAAAAAAACAACACCAGATTTAAAAACAGGTAAAAGACCTCAACAGACATTTCTCAAAAGATGACATACCACAGCCACTAGGTATATGAAAAAATGTCCAACGTCATGAATCTTCAGGGAAATTTCAAAACCACAATGAGGCATCCCTCACTCCAGTTATAACAGCTATTATCAAAAAGACAAAGGAAGCAAGTACTGGAGAGGATGTGGAGTGGAATGTAAGTCCCACTTACTCTTGGTGGGACTGTAAACTGGTGCAGCCACTATGGAAAACAGAATGCAGGCTTCTTTACAAAGTTAAAAATCGGAAAGACGGCACTTTTTTTATAAGTGGTGGCAAGCACTGAGAGAATGCCATGAAGGCCTTGGGCACACTGCAAGAGTATTCGCTGCCTCCCCACCCTCAAGTGCCACATGCTGCCCCTCTACTGCCAGTGAATCCCTGGGCCTAAGCAAATTGTTGCCAAGCCCTGCTTCTGGTACTTTCTATTTCAACTAAAGAAGAAAAAGTGTTCAGGGCAAAGTGTCTACCGGGCAGGTGTTCAAGAAATCCCCTGCAAGTGAAGACCTTTGGCATCGGGGTATACTACAGCTCCTGCAGCAGCATCCACAGTATGTATGCAGAACAGCCGGACCTGACCACCGTGGGTGCTGTCACCCAGTGCTCCCAAGACGGGCACCCAGCACCGTGACCCAGGCCTACGCCATCCAGATCATGAAGGTGGAGGTGATTGCAGCCATCTCCATCAAAGATCAGAGTGCCACAAGCAGTTCCACAATTCCAAGGTCACATTCCTGCTGCCCCACCAGGTCTTGCATCTTCAGCACTAGCCACACTCCAACACCAAGAGTCCCAATACCTTCTTCCAGGTACAGAGAACTTTCGCAGGCTGTCATCAAAATAAACTCAAGAATGCCCAGGTGAAAAAATAAAAATAGAACTATCACATGATCTAGCAATCCATTATCTCCCATGTTTAATGAGCACCATTCACAACAGCCAAGACATGAAATCAACCTAAGTATCCAACAGCAGATGAATAAAGAAAATGTGTGCGTATAATACACACACACACACACACACACACACACACACACACAAATGGAATACTATATAGCCATAAACAAGAATAAAATCTTATCATTCATGACAATACAGGTGGACCCTGGAGCCATCACATTAAGTGAAATAAGCCAGCCACAGAAAGATAAATACTACATGATTTCACTCATGTGAAATCTTTAATAAAAAAAAAAAAGTTGATTTCATAGAAGCAGGGAGTAGAACAGTGGTTACCAGAGACTGGGGAAAGAAAGAAGAAAAGGAAGACGGAAAGAGGTTGGTCACTGGGTACAAACTCACAATGGGGCAGAAGGAATAAGGTGTGGTGTTCTATTGCACAGTAAGGCGGTATGGTCAACAGTAAGGGACTGTATATTACAAAATAGCCGGAAGAGAGGCTTCTAAATGTTCTTGCCACAAACAAATGATAAATGCATGAGGTGATGGATATGCTAACTACCCTGATTTGATCATTATACAACATACATACGGTATATATTGAAATGTGAAATTTACCCTATAAATATGTACAAGTGTCAATTTAAAAAAAAAAATTTTTTTTGAAACAGAGTCTCACACTGTCACCCAGGCTGCAGTGCAGTGGTGCGATCTTGGCTCACTGCAACCTCCGCTTCCCAGGTTCAAGTGATTCTCCTGCCTCAGCCTCTCAAGTAGCTGAGATTACAGGTGCATGCCACCACATCCAGCTTATTTTTTTTGTATTTTTAGGAGAGATGGAGTGTCACCATGTTAGCCAGGCTAGTCTCGATCTCCTGACTTCGTGATTTGCCTGCCTTGGCCTTCCAAAGTGCTGGGATTACAGGTGTGGGCCACTGTGCACAGCCCTTTTTTTTTTTTTTTATAAGAATTAGGAATTCCTAGGAAGCAGCAAGCTGCTCTTTCAGCTCTGCCCACTCTGTCATCCCATGTCACTCCTATTCCCTGTCCCCTTCCTTCTTTACATCTATTCTACTCCTAAATTCTCCTCCCTTATCCTTTATTGCTATGTATGGAGGGCTGGGGGGGAAAAAAGTGAAGGGAAAGAATGAGATTTGGCGGGAAATGGTAGGTAAGGGGAAAAGAGGAGCTATTAGGCCCAGATTTAGAAGAGGAGATGAATATCCCCTCGTTTCTGAGCCGATCTGATGAGTCAGCAAAGGAGACTCACTTACCACAGTTCTAGGACTTTGGGGGGTAGCTTTTCAGGAACTTGGTAATACTGAAGAACCCAGGAGAGGACTTCTTGCCACCGATCCATTTCTGCCAGGGCCTGGATCCCCACAACACACAGGGAGCACTTCACTTCCAAGAAGCTGTCAGCAGAAAAACCAATTTCAGTTAGAAGTGGTTCCCCTCCATTTCCATTTCCATTCCCACCTCCACCAGCTCCCAACTCAGCAGCCATCATGTCCCTCATCCCCGTTAGTATTTAGATGGGCTTCACAATTGGTCTCATGGGCTGCCTTTTCGCCCAGGCACGAAAAGTTCCTGTAAACCTTTTAAGAGGCAAGTCAGCTGAATTGCTCAATGTTCATCTTTGTATCCAGGTGAAATCAGACTTAAATGAAGAGGAACGGTAATCCTGAGGGGCAAATAACACACAGCACCAGTGTGTGGGTGAAAAAAGCTGGAACTGAGTTTGCTCAGTGAATAAATGGGCTTGGAGCATTCTGAATGAGTGGAGGTATAGGAAGTCCACAGCTGGCCTTTTAGCACCACCTAGTAAGGTTCCTCCAGACACCCAGAAGCAAAGCCTTCCACATTCACTGAAATGCGCTCCCACCCAGCCCCCTTAAGCACAGCCAGAGCTCTCCAGTTCATCCTTCTCTGCGGTCAGCTTTAAGTATTCTACCTACCGCCTCCCTAGTATGGCCTAATCCAATTTTACAATGCAGAGAAATGACGCCCTCACCTGCCATATAAGGCTGGTGGCATTAGAAAGAGCAAAGCAGGCCCAAGGTTTTTTCCTCCAGATTCTGTTTTTCTCTTCTTTTTGGTAGAGAAGGGGGCTCGTTATGCTACCCAGGCTGGTCTCAAACTCCTGAGCTCAATCAATCCTCCTGCCTCGGCCTCCCTAACTGTTGGGATTACAGGCGTAAACCCCCGCGCCTGGCCCTGAATTCACTCTTTAATCCAGTCCTCCAATGGGACGAGCACACTGTTCCTGCCACGATCCCCATTCCCCATCATCAGCCAAAGTCAGGAGTAAACAACCTGGTGGGAAGGCAGTTACCTAGGAGAGGACTTTCATCACCTGCTTACTGACAGAGTTTAACACTTAATACACATTCAGCCTTCCCATCATGTCATTCTGCCCTGGAACAAGGAGCAAAGAATTGGCTGTGGGTTCACTGCTAAGCTCTTGTTACTCGACTTCCTTATTCTGTAGAATGGGCACACGATGAGCAAACACCCTCTCTGAGAGAAACCACTGATAAAGCTCCTTATGAGCAATCTGGGAATGACAGAACCCCTGAGACCTTGAGCCCCACCCCAAGAGCACCCGGAAATGGGTTCCTTTCCGAGCCCAGCACGTACGTGCCCGCGGGTTCCTCTGCCAGGGCGTGGTTGGCCAGACTCTGCCAGGCCCGTTCGCAGGTCTCCAGCGCCGCCCGAAAGTCCAGGTGCACTACCAAGAGGTCGGCCGCCTCCTCCAGCAGGTCCACCGCCGGCGCCCGGGCCCGGGCGGCGCGCACCGGCTCGCTGCTGCGCAGGGGGCCCCCGAGCCCCCGGAGGGGGCCTGCAGAGATCGAGGAGTCGCTCTTCATAACTAGTCCCGGCCCAGGGCCCAGCTCCTCAGACGTCGGAGTGACCGCCTCTCCGGAGGCTCCGGGATATGCCAAGTTGGCCTGAGCGAAGAGGGAAAGTCTTCATCTCCTTGCCCACACCCCTTCCCGAGATCGATTCCCGGAGAAAGAAAAGGAAGGGGCCTGAGGCAAAGGCTGGGCTCGCCTGGCGGCTGGGGAAGCAGTTTACACATCGGATTTGCAGGATTCTTGCATCCCTGAACTACCTGGCCCTAGCTTCTCCGGCCCCGCGACACGTGCAGCAACTGCCTCAGCTGTGGGATCCTGGCTACGAACAAAGACTCTCAGCCGGCCGCCCCACAACGGTGCGGACATCTTTCGCGCTCGCCCCGCCCCGCAGACGCGCGGCGGCGCGGGGTGCTCTGGGAGTTGTGGTTCCCCAGCTCTCGGCTCTATAATAGAATCAGGCGGGAAAGTGCGGACTACAACCCCCAGCACGCCGCGCCCCGGAAGCCGCCCCTGTCCCGTGAGAAAACAAACCGCTGCTACAGCTTCGGGGTGGGGAAGTCGGGGCAGGTGGACCGCTCACAACGCCGAAGCTGTCTTGTGAAATGGAGGGGTCCTCACTAGCCAGTTCCAGCGGAGGCTGACGGAAGAAATGCCAGCAATGGATGTGCAGCTACATGCACGCTTCTAACTCAGAGCTTCTGCGGCGGTGGCGATCAGGGAATCTGTGATGTCAGGGCTGAGGCAGAGCTGATCGAACATTCTGGCAACCTTAGTCTTGGACTGATTCACACTTTCTCCGCGTTCCCTCCGGAGTTTTCTGTGGGGGGATGAATATTGCCTGGTGAGGCTGAGGGAATTAGGGCGGAAACCTTCACAAAGAGTACTAAGAATATGTTGGTCCAAAGGGCAGTGTTCCAAAATGAACAGTGAGCCCACCGACGCGGGGCTGGGGGCGCTGAACATAGGGCCTCATTTTCTCTCTGCTCTGTGCCCCACCCTGGATCTGTTGTTAGAAAAATCTGGGGTTAAATGTAGACACCAATTCTACCTCCCCAGTGTTGCCACTTCCAATCTGTCTTCTCTATTTTATATCTCTCCTTGTTTATCGCCATCTACATACTAATGTCTATGTTTTACTTATTTTTTGTTGTCTCTTTCCTTCCACTGTGATATTAACTCAGGAAGGCAGAGGTTTTTGTCTCTCGTTCACCGTGGGAACTTCATGCCTTGAACAATGCCTGCTACCTATAGGTAGTAAAAAAAGTATTTGCGGAATAAATGAAGTCCTGGCTTCACTTTTATCTGGTTACAGGGTCCATATTTCTCTTTCCTCAGAGTCTGATGGACTTGGTTCTGCCTCAGCTTCCCATGCAGACTTTCTGGAAGAGAATGGACAGCCCAGAAGGTGGGTGTGTGTATGTATGGTGACAAGGGCAGGGGATGTGTGATGTGAGCAGGTGTCTGTCTAATCTAATTTCTAGGGCAGCAAATGATTCTAGGGAAGTTTTGAAGACAGTTCAAAGGGCAGAGAACTGGGAAGAAACGAAAACCAAGATGACCTAATACAAATGAGGGAAGCTTGGCAAAGCCCAGGTGAAACAATATATTAATAAGTGTGATTTATGGATATGTGTAAGATTACTATTATAGCTACAATTTACCAAATACTCTGTTTCCAGTACTTTATTTTAAAGTGCATGATTCACAATATGGTTTTGATTTTCACGGTGTTCTTAGCTTACATTGTATAACTTGCTCATGGAATGACTGTGAATCCCCTGAATAGAAGCATACTTAGTTCTGTCCCTGCAGAGCAGAGTAGTGGCTCAATGCCTTTGGCCCAAAAGAGCCTCTGTTTGACTGACATTTGTCACTTACTAGTTGTGTGACCTCAGGAATTTATTTACATAAGGTCTGATTTCCTCACCTGTAAAATTGGCGTAACAGTTTGTCCTTAACTCTCAAAGGCTGAGGGAAGAATTAAGTAAGATTGCGTACAATGCACCAGGCACGTTAAGTACTGAAAAATGTGAGCCAGGCCTGGGAAGACCGAACATGCTCAGAAGCGGCCAGCTCTAAGTGGCTGACGCCTGGAAAAGCCCCTTTCCTTAATCCCTAACAAATTTCTTGCTATTCCAAATTTGTCCAGGAGATGGATGCACAGTCTTAAAAGAAGCAGCCTTGCTAAAAATAAATTTGCCTGTTTAGTAGTGAGACAGCCAGAATGAGGTCAAGATATTTCAGGCAAAAGAGAGGAGAGCTAGAAACCATATAAAAATATGATTGTATTTCATTTCTGATTCACCCATTTTTCAACTATTCCTCGGCTGCATATCAGCCCGTACATAACCACTGTTTCGCACTATTATGCCTACAAATGGATTCCTCAACACACATCCACTGGGATACATCATCTCCATGTCTGCAAGTACCCAGAATTTCTCAGGCGAAGACACAGAAATCCCAAACAGAATCGGATTCATTCTCCCCCTGGGAGAACATGAACGGGAATTATCTTTACCTAGCCAACCTTCTCTCTCCAAGTTGGGGCTCATGGGACAGCCTTTGAAACCACCTCTTCTTCTCCTCTCATTTCCTCATCCTTGGTATAAAAAAACAGTGGAACTAAGGACAGTCTTTTCAGATGTATAAGGCCAGGCCCATATTAATATTTGTATTGTTAGAATTGTTTCATTTGGGGAAGACTAGCTGAGCACCTGAGATGCCAGCATCCTCATTATGACCCCTCCCCACCCCTACCCAGGCTGTGGAACTCGGGGCTCTTCCTTGCATTTGGCAGAGGGATCAGGGCGGCTCCTTCACCTGAGGACACAGATTTGCTCAGCCTGCTGGGGATGAGTTGATGATTTTGTAGCAGAAGGGACTAGAAGTGAGAGGCACAGTTTGAATCCTGGTTCCTTCAGGCAGGGCACAGTGTTCATGCCTGTAATCCCAGCACTTTGGGAGGCTGAGGCGGGAGGATTGCTTGAGCTTAGAAGTTCAAGACCAACCTGGGCAACATGGTGAAACCCTGTCTCTACAAAAATTACAAAAATTAACTGGGTGTGGTGGCGCATGCCTATAGTCTCAGCTGCTCGGGAGGCTGAGGCGAGAGGATTCCTTGAGCTCAGGAGGTCAAGGCCGCGGTGAGCTGAGATCACACCGTTGCACTCCAGCCTAGGTGACAGAATGAGATCTTGCCTCAAATCAAATAAATAAAAATTTAAAAGCAATTAAAAAAGAATCCTGGTTCCTTCAGTGACAAAGCCAGATGACCTCTAGAAAGTTGCCACATTTCTTCATGCGTCAGTCCTGTCATCTGGGGACACTGATACCAACACCTGCAGCATAGGGTGGCCATGAGGAGCAGAAGAAACCATGTGAGGGGCCATTGCACACTGTCAACAACTGGACTCGTTCAGGCTGATTTAAGGCAAGAAAGAAGAAAGAATCTCAGCCAGGCGTGGTGGCTCACCCCTGTAATCCCAGCATTTTGGGAGGCCGGGGCGGGCAGATCACTTGAGGCCAGGAGTTCAAGATAAGCTTGGCCAACATGGTGAAAAACCATCTCTACCAAAAATACAAAAATTATCTGGGCCTTGTGGCACGTGCCTGTAGTCCCAGCTACTCGGTAGGCTGAGACAGGAGAATCGCTTGAACACAGGAGGCAGAGGTTGCCGTGAGCCGAGATTGCACCACTGCACTCCAGCCTGGGCAACAGACCAAGACTCTGCCTCAATTAAAAAAAAGAAGAAGAAGGAATCTCATAGCACCCCAAAGTTCTGTAATACAACTTTCTGATCTAGAATCCAATTTTTTTTTTTTTTTTTTTTTTTTTTTGAGACAGGGT